AGCAAAAGAAAGAGCCGAGACCCGTCCTGAGGAGTCGATGCCGTGGCTGGGACCACATCCTCCCAGAGTTCACGGATCAAAGCAAAAGAAAGAGCCGAGACCCGTCCTGAGGAGTCGATGCCGTGGCTGGAACCACATCCTTCCAGAGGTCACAGCTTAAAGCATTACCAGCTAACAAAGCTTCAAGAATATACGAGACCCATCCTGCGGCAGCTGCACAATCGGATCCACGGCCTCCCAGAGTTCATAACAAAAGAAGCAGAGGGAGCCAAGGAAGAGTTGGGACCCGTCCTGTGCCGGCGGACCCACAGCAGCAGCCGGTGCCACCTCGGAACTTATCACAGCTCATCGCATAATCCCGTGAAAAAAAAACCCATGTGGGTCTCAGCTCTGCGGCAATCGCTTTTATCGGGCCCTCTCACAGTGCCCAGTCCTAGCTTTCCGTCCCCAATTTTATCGGATGGTCCCCCAATGCTCCCGACTCTAAGCGATGGGCCCTGTCACAGTGCCCATCGCATGACTCCGAAGCCTATGGTCATCCTAACTTTTGGGCCCTATCACAGTGCCCAAAAATCTAGCGAGCTCTAGCGATGGGCCCTATCACAGTGCCCATCGCTTCAATCTTAAGGTGAGCATGGGCCCTATCACAGTGCCCAGCTCCGTTTATCGGAAGATCCCCGAAGAATCCCAACAATCCCGACGGTAGCCAATGATCCGATACACTAAACCCTCAACCCCAATCTGATACGAGTGCCCTATTTTACCACACGGGCCCTCTCACAGTGCCCGTGCGCTGCGAAGTGGGCCCTCTCACAGTGCCCACTTCGCGCTAGTACTATCTCAGCTTACTTATCGGCTCCTAAAACTACCGATGGGCCCTGTCACAGTGCCCATCGACCCCTGAAGCAGCAATATCACCAGCACACTCAGCCCTTGACGCCAGTCGCTCGACGCTTCGAGCGACCTCCACGCCGTATCGCTGGATCCTGGAGCAGAAGCGGCCTTAAGGGCTTAGGGTTCAGGAAGTGTTCAGGAGTGGTTCAGGGTTTAGGGCTTTAGGGTTCGGGCATGCCATACATTAGCCTGTCTCAACCCTGAACCCTAAATCCTAAAAAAAAACTGAACCCTAAACCCTGAACCCTGAGCCCTAAATCCTAAACCCTGAACCCCAAACCCTGAACCCTAAATCTTAAACCCTGAGCCCCAAACCCTGAACCCTGTCCTGGCTCGCATCGTAGGTGCTCTGCAATGGCGGATTCTGCGACAAAGCACAATCAAGCAAAACCATGCAAAACCCTTTCCGAAGCTCATGTCTTCATCCAGCCCAGCCTCCAAGCCCTGCTCTGCAGCATACTGCAGAGCCATAGGATACGATGAAATGATTCGGCGGGACTTCTGGGCCGATGGGTCATCCACGACGTGCCAGTAAACTCAGATCGTACAATCGTAGAAAAAGACCCGCACAAAATCCAAAGTCACCACAACAGAGGTCCTAAGTGCCTGCCCCGGAGCAGTCTGTTCGGCCGTTCTTGCCGGACCGGCGCTCCAGCTGCCATATGGCCATGATGCGACACTGTAGAAGTGCAATTATGCAAACAATGTGCAATGATGCAGCATCAGGCCGCCCTCCCCCGGGCAGCTCATAGATGATGGATGCATGATGCTGTCCATGGACTCATGTGCCGCCGACTGCTACCGCATGCTACCGCCATCAAGGCAAAATGCCTGCACCGGATCGTCACTGGCACACGGCATTCACACAGCACACGGCTTCACACTCGAAACACGGATCCAAGCCCTCCAAACCTACCGATCGCCACCTATTTTCTCAACCCCACCCCACGGTGGAAAAATAGGTGGCGCGCCCCCAGGAAGAATAGGTGGGAATCCTACTCACGTCCCCCCACCAACCACCTATTCGAGGGGGTGGCCTTCGCCCGCTGCATCTGCAGGCTTTCCTGGCGTCAGACGGTCCCGCGGGTACGTCGCAGGTCTGTCTTCAGACGGTCCTTGTGTCAGACGCTCGAGTCGGCGTGTCAAATGCACAGATCACGTTTTCCGACCCGCTCAGATCGAAACTTCTTTTCGGTGCAGTCTCCGGCTCAAGAACAGCTCGGTTCTCTGATCCGCTCAAGCCGTTCTTTTTACTCTGTTGTCATGGTTCTCATCTGGAATTCACAGAGCAGACGGTTCAACAGAAGCCGTACTTTTTTTCCGTGTAGTCCGATGTCGATGTGCTTCGAGCGGTCGTCTGGCGATCACGGAAGCAGCTTCTAGCAGCCAGGCCAAGCATCCGATCAGATGCGAAATCTATGCACTGGTTACTAGCGTGAACGTACGCGCTGCTTAAGAGGAGCCAGAAATCCGTCCGCCGGAGCATTCGCGACATGATGATGACAGTCATCATAGCGCAGCTGTTCTCCTTGGAGCTCGTGGTCGACGAGTTTCTTCTTGTCCTCAGAGCATAGATGTCGGCAGCCAAGATCTTGCACACTGCATTGCCTGCTACCTCGGCAGTTCCAGTCTTGGAACCCCATGAGGCCTCGTTGCGACGGAGAAACCTCCAAGGTTCGCAAGCCCACCCTCCGTCGCAATCTCCCTCCCCTCCGCCCGTGGCCTGGCCACATTCTTGCGAGTTCAGTACAATGGTGGGGCGAACCGGATATGCTCGGCTTCTAGCAGAGCACATCCGCTTCGCGCCCCGTTGCGCTGCAAGCTATGTCTTCGGCAGGACCATTCCGGTTCCATCGCGTGTGTCGTGCAATGCGACGGCGGCGGTGCTTCTGATCTTGCATGGTTTCGGTTCAGGTTCACGTCATGTCCTGGGCAGGTGCAAGGGCATGCGGCTTAATCCGGCCAGAGAGCCGAGATTCCTGCGAAGCTCGCACTCAAACTGGTTGCGGGGGCATGCTGATTATTTCAGAAAGCAACTGGGGTCTCCGGCTGTTCAGACCGATGCGCGGTTCGGCAGACCTCGGCGCACGTTTCCGGAGCTAGCTTCGCGCGACGCGACACTGCTAAATATATATATATATATATATATATATATATATATATATATTTATAGATATATATATATATATACATATATACGTATATATATATATATATATATATATGTATACGTATATATGTATATTTGCTTCTTATAGACAAGTTCCAGACATTCTGCAGGAAGAAGCAGCTCACCTTACAGCAGACAAGACGAAGTAGAGACCGACCATGCAGACGACAGCGATAGGGGTAAGATCTTTGGCTGCCAATTCCACCCTGGCCGTCTGTACATCTGTTCAGCAGGCGCCGTCTTTTGCGTCGTCGGCAGAAGCAGAAAAAAAGGCACGTCGTCTTGTCGGAGAACACCGAAAACAACCGCAGCTGCCCCCGGCTTTCAAGGACGGTGTCGAAAGGTGCTGTACAATTTAGGAAGAAGCGTGCACGAACTTCCGACTTGCTTTCGATTTCCGCAGCAGCTCTGTCAGGCGATTTGCGCGTTGGTTTCTCGTCCACACTCTCATTGCTGGATCCGGCGATCCTTTTCGTCAAAGCGATCGCAGTTGATTCTGCGGTCCGGTTTCTTTTCTCGCTAGGCAGGCCCTAGCATCGCAAAGTGCATTCTGGATTGCCAAGCCGTCCTGGAAACCATCGGAGACAGCGTGCCGTCCTGGAAACCATCGGAGACAGCGTGGCTGTCGGCACCTCGCAGCTCGCGGTCCTTTTGTCGGACGGTCTCGAATGGGTGCGGGCATGTCAAGCCGAAACTTCTCTTCGCGAAGTGTCCAGCTCTCGGAGCGCGGTTCCTGACCCGCTCAAGCCGAAACGAGTTTATCTGCAGTCACCAGCTCTCGTCTGGCCTTCACCGAGCAGACGCTTCGATGAAAGCCGAGTATCCTTCTTGTGTACTCCGAACCCGAAGTGCATCTGGCGGTCATCTGGCGATAAGAGAGCCAGCTCTGCTGCTTCATGCCATCGAGCCACGGCCGTTAGCCGAAGCATTCGCGACGGCATGGCAGAGAATATATTGAAGATCTGTGCGCCGCGCACTCCGAATCCGAAGCGCATCTAGGGGTCGTCTGTCTATAACGGAGCCAGCGTCGCGGGAGCCATTACAGCACAGATCTTGGCATTCCAGATCTTGCACACTGCGCTCTTTGTTACCTCGGCAGTTCCATTTTTGGAACCCCATGAGGCCTCGCTGCGACGGAGAAACCTTCAAGGTTGGCAAGCCCACCCTCCGTCGCAGTCTCCCTCCCCTCCGCCCGTGGCCTGGCCACGTTCTTGTGAGTACAGTGCAATGGTGGGGCGAACCGGATATGCTCGGCTTCTAGCAAAGCACATCCGGCTCGCGCCCCATTGCGTCGCAAGCTGTGTCTTCGGCAGGACAGTTCTGCCTCTCCACTGCAGTTCCATATTGTCGGTCGTGCAATGCGACGCCCACGGCTGCCGAAGACGACGGCGGGTTTTTCGGATCCCGCATGGCTTCGGGCCCGGGTTCATGCCATGTCTTGGGCAGTTGCAAGGGCATTCGTCTTAGTCCGGCCAGAGAGCCGAGACTCCTGCCACGGTTACATCCAAATTGCTAGCTGGGGCATGACGATTGCTTCACAAAGTCGCTGGGGTCTCCGGCTGCTCGGACCGATGCGCGGTTCGGCAAACCTCGGCGCAGGTTTGTGGAGCTCAGGTTGGCGTGACACGAGACTGCAAGATTGTTGCTCCCTATCGACAAGTTCCAGACATGCTGCAAGAAGAAGCAGTTGACCTTACAGCAGACAAGACCAAGTAGAGACTCATACGTACGGTACACGAGGAAGATCTCGGGCTGTCTATTTTGTGTCGCCCGTCTGTACTTGTGTCCAGCAGCTATAGTGTCCTGCTTTGTTTGCAGAAGCGGAAGCGGGCTCCGGCGCGTCGACTCGTTACACAAGATCGATACTTTGTCTAGTCTGACTAGTTTATTCATGCAGGCTTTGCCAGTCTTTTGCTCTTTCAGGAGGACGCAATGCTCACTCGTTGGCGATCGGCGAGGACGTTCGGCCCACCATCTTCTGTCGCTGGAAGAGTCCTTGAACGAGAAGCAAGAGATCGTCCAGAAGAACGGAGAGGTCGTAACAAAAATCCAGAACGGTCGGGTTCTGCGTCTTCTCGCAGATGTATCTAAGCAGTGTGAGACAACGAGGAAGAGCCAGAAGCAACAGACGCGAAGTGGCATCTTTCAATGACCCCCAGGCCATTGTGGCTTTTACGTCGAAAGGCAAGTTTCTGCCGAGGGACACCGCCGCTTCCAGGTCGGCACGGCGGATGCATTCTTCCACGTCCAGGATGCGCTCGTCGCCGACTTGCAATTGATCTTCGGGAGTGTGCCTGAATTATCACAAAGCTGCAAGAAGAGCGTCCGCACTCATAGCTTCTATTTAGGGTATTCGGCAACGCAACAGCACAACTTTGTATTCTTGCTGCATACAAAGCGACAAAAGCGTGCTGAGCACGTCGGCGGAGAATGCTAATGTTTGTAGCGAGACAGCAGGACCGACGCGAAGAACTCGGTAGGCGGCCAGCACAACCGCGTGAAGGTCCTGCCACGCATTGTCGACGCTTCGCCGTAGTTCATCGCTGTTCGGGGACAGTGCCCGCCGAGCGGAGTGCATGGCGGCGGCGGTGTTCCACACGCCAAACGCGCAGGGCGCCAGGTCCATGTTGGTGTTGCGGCTGCAGCAACCAATGATGTCGTGTTGACTGCGGCTTGGCCTGGCTAGCGAGCCGAGACCCTGCGACTGTGCCGTCCGAACTTTCTGGGTTCACATAAGCAACTGGGCATTCTGGCCTCTGCTCTTGGCTGCGCTTTGGCAGTCAAGCGCTGGAAGTGATTGGACCTTGGTTCCATGGTCGACAAAGCAGAAAACATCGGAACGAAGACGTTGTTCAAAGGCGCAGCAAGTCTTGGCAACAAACGCACGCAGCAGTTTTTTTTGGGGCCTTCCATGGAAGAGTTTGGGTCATCCAAGGCAACGTCATTTTTGGGGGGGGGGCCACCGGGCACGTTAGTTCATGAGTGCAGATGTCACGGTCGGATGCCCGGCGACCGTTGGCCCCAACCCCCCCCCCCCATATGCTCCAGGACCAACGATTTTTGTTCGGTCTCTGCATAGACCTTGGTGTACGTAGAACGAGCTCTGAGATGGTTTTGCAACACAACGGTCGAGACGCAAAACTACATGCACTCCGTCTCTTTTTGGGACCGTGGCCACTGACAGGACTAGTAGACTCTCACTTCGCGAAGGAGCATGTAGATAAATGCACTCAACTGCTTTGCCGTCATTACGCTGGCCGAAGTGTTGTGAGCCAACACGTCAGGATGCACGGCCACGAGCTGCATTCGGAGCCAGCTTGTAAACTTCGGTTTGTTCATTTCCTTTCTGGTGTCGAAGTCGTGCAGTACGAAGGATCCGCTTCGTTGGTCTCCTGAGTTGTATTGGGGTAGCCAGGAAGGAGGCAAATCCTTTGGTGGCACGTTCAGGATCGTTTCCACGCCAGTCGAAGATGCCTTGCTCCAGGGTTCTGCCGATGCTGTCCCGGTCGATGTTCCTGCGGCCGACGCTGCGGCCGTTTCCGTTTCCTTCGATGTTGAGGGGAGATCTAGATCCGGCGGCCCGGGAAGCCGGCGTGGTTCCATGTTCCCAACCTGCAAGCTAGGGCTGCGATGGATGTTCTCAATCCCAAATGGAACCATGGCTAGGAGGCAAGGAGTCTGTCTCTAGTGTCTAATATCAGCTTGGCCTGGGCAGACAGCCGAGACCTTGCGATTCGCGGATGGAACTTCTCTTGCATTTATTGGGTAGGCAACCCAACACACGTCGAACCGACATGCAGCGACCAGACACGTTTTGGCGGTCGCCACGGACGTTTAGTTTCTGGAAACATGAAGAGCGGCATCGGATGATTCTCAGGTTTCGTCGGCCTCGGGCTGCGGCGATCCACTGTCCGTTCTTTGGCATAAACCACTGTCGTATTTTATATCGACACGCCAGACGGGCATTTTCCGTGCTGTCTCGATTGCCACAGCGCGTAGTCGGAGAGGATCCGGCCGCTCCAATAGACGGATGAAGACGAGGCGTCTCCAATTTCCATAGTTGTGGACGATGCGTTTAATCTCACGAGGCAATCCGGCAACTAGACAGAGCATAGGCAAGAAAGTTCGCTGGGTTCGGAAAAAGTCTAGTTTTTTCAGAGAGACGTTCTCAAGGTATTTCTCCCAGCAGAACGAGGCGAGCCGCCAGCTGTCCTGGAGGGTCCTGATAGCATGCCGCAAGATTGATTTGCAGGTAGCGCACAGGAGCTGCGATTGCATCGTCCCAGCTTGCAGGAAGCGCACCTTGATCTCTCCAGTCTGGTGGTCCGTGAGCACTGAAAGCCGAGGTAGTCTGCCCTTCCAGGCTCGCAGGTTGGCCTTGACCTCTTCGTCCGTTAGGCGCGGCCAGCTGTACAGGAATTTGCCTTCTTCGTCTTGGTATCGATAAACACGTTCTACATTTTCCCGGGGTTCGCAGAGACATAGTTTCGCCCGCACCAAGCATGCATATCGAAAAATGCGCTCGAGCAAAATTGCCGGCAAATCCAGAAGGTCTGTCTTCTTCCCGAAAAGCAGCTCTTTTCTGGATGCTGTCGATCTAGAAAGGGAATCATGGCCGGAAGGCAAGGCGTTCGTGTCTAACATCAGCTTGGTCCGGCCAGAGAGCCGAGACCTTCGGGATTGTAGCAAAGGTGCGACTTGTTGGGGGGGGGGGAGGAAATCGAGTATCCTGCGTTAATGAGGGTGTTCTGATAATTGGAGCCTTCGATCTTGTCTAGTCCTATTTACGAAACGAGGCTAGTACTGAAGAATCGTTAGTTTTCTGTGCCACTTGTTAAGAGCGTTCGGCTTGGTCTGGCTAGCGAGCCGAGACCCTGCGAACGCAACCTTCGAGAAACGATCTGGAATGTTTTCATCGAAGCGACCGGGGTCTCCGACCGCAGACACGTGGATCTTTGTTTCGTCCCCTGCGTGCGCCGGGGACGAAAGGTTTCTGGACATCATGTTGATCAGCTGAGGCAGGCGACGTACTTGCCTTCTGGTTCAAGTCCACGTAGTTCTCTATCGGTTCGAGGGAGTTCCGAAACCTGCTGGCAAGGGCAGCGGGGATTTACTGCTTGCACAAGCGATCCGTCCTGTGTGTTTCCGTTTGATAGCTTCACGTGAAGGGTGGGTACGAGGCTGCCATCTGGTAGAGTAGAAAACCCAAGTGTTGAAGAGCTTCCCCCGCTGGCATCGAGTGGGTCATCATCTCACACAGACTACTGGCTAGCCAGAACGTGCGCACACATAAAGGCAAAAAGTCCTCGAGTAAGGCTCGCGCGGCAAAGCACCGACGAACGAAGTCGTAGAGCGCGAGAAATCACCTGCGATGTGAGGGGAGCGTGGCAGCGGTTGGTCAGGATGCTAGCGATCCTCTTGGAGATCAACACAAAGAGCGAGAGAACTTTTTCATGCGTGATAAGCCCGCTGCAAGCGTGGTACGTCACTCCGAAAGAAACCAATGAGGTTCAGGAAGATGGCTCGAACTTCACGATTGCACACACGCAATGCCTTGGAGGCAGAGAATCCCAGATGTAGGAGCAGGAGCGCGGAGGAACGAGCTGCTCCAAGCAAGTTGCGCAAATCGGCGCGTGTCTGTCCGGGACGCAGAAGGATCTCGGAGCGCCAGCCAGGAATCAGGGTTTGCTCCTGCAGCCATAATAGAATCAATCGTCCTCGCGGGACTCTTGCTACCTGAGTGAAGCGTCGACGGAGGCGCTCGGGGCCGGAGGTCATTCGTTTCGGTCGGACGGGGGGCATTTTTTTTGGCCGTGGGGCCAAGGATAGTTTTTTTTTCATCATTTGCTAGAATCTTCTGTGCTCGAAGCAGGTCTCGAGGCCGACAGTTGTCGGCGTTCTTTTACAGTTGCTAGAAGCGTTGGGCTTGGTCTGGCTAGTGAGCCGAGACCCTGCGCTGGCGGCGAAAAAGCTTGCGTCTGATTCCTGGTTAATCGAAGCAACTGGGCCGCCCGGCCGCTGGCGCGTGCAATTCTTGTTCTGTCGTTGTCAAGAAGCAATAGACCTTGGTTTACATAGAGTCAGATATGAGATGGTTCTGCAACACAACGGTCGAGACGTAAAACTGCATGCACTCCATCTCTTTTTGGGACCGTGGCCACTGACAGGACTAGTAGACTCCCACTTCGCGAATGACCATGCAGATAAATGCCCTCAACTGCTTTGCCGTCATTACGCTGGCCGAAGTGTTGTGATCCGCCACGTTAGGATGCACGGCCATGAGCTGCATTCGCAGCCACGTTCTAAACTTCGGTTTGCTCATTTCCTTGCTGGTGTCGAAGGCGTGCAGGATGAAGGATCTGCTTCTTTGGCTTCCTGAGTTGTAGTGGGGTAGCCAGGAAGGAGGCAAATCCTTTGGTGGCACGCTCAGGATTGTTTGCACGCTCGTCGAAGACGCCTTGCCCCAGGGTTCTGCCGATGCTGTCCCGGTCGATGTTCCTGCGGCTGACGCCGCAGCCGTTTCCGTCTCCTTCGATGTTGAGGGGAGATCTAGACCCGGCGGCCTGGGAACCCGGCGTGGTTCCATGTTCCCAACCTGCAAGCGAGGGCTGCGATGGATGTTCTCAATCCAAAATGGAACCATGGCTAGGAGGCAAGGAGTCTGTCTCTAGTCTCTAATCTCAGCTTGGCCTGGCCAGAGAGCCGAGACCTTGCGAGTCGCGGATGGCATTTCGCGCCTTTTTTCTTGGGCAGGCAACCCAACATGCATCGGACGGACATGCAGCGGCAGGAGACGTTTTGGCGGTCGCCACGGACACGCGATTCTTGGAAACACTTACAGCGGCATCGGAAATTGCTCAGGTGTCGTCGGCCTCGGGCCGCGGCGATCCGCTATCCGGTCTTTGGCCTTAACATTCGTCAAACAAGGGATCGATACGCCAGACGGGCATTTTCACTGCAGTTTCGATTGCCACAGCGCGTAGTCGCAGAGCATCTGGCTGCTCCAATAGACCGTTGACCACGAGGCGTCTCCAATGTCCGTGGTTGTGGACGATGCGTTTAATCCCATGAGGCAATCCCGGAACGAGACAGAGCATAGGCAACAAAGAGCGCTTGGTCCTGAAAAAGTCTAGTTTCTTCAGAGACACGCTCTGGAGGTATTTCTCCCAGGAGAACGAGGCGAGCCGCCAGCTGTCCTGGAGGGTCCTGATAGCATGCCGCAAGATTGATTTGCAGGTAGCGCACAGGAGCTGCGATTGCATCGTCCCAGCTTGCAGGAAGCGCACCTTGATCTCTCCAGTCTGATGGTCCGCGAGCACTGAAAGCCGAGGTAGTCTGCCCTTCCAGGCTCGCAGGTTGGCCAAGACCTCTTCGTCCGTTAGGCGCGGCCAGACGTACAGGAACGCGCCTTCTTCGTCTTGGTATTCATAAACACATTCTTGACTTTCCCGGGGGGCGTAGAGACATAGTTTCGCCCACACCAAGCATGCATCTCCAAAAATGCGTTCGAGCAAAATTGCGGGCAAATCCAGGAGGTTCGTCTTAGGTTTTTTGTCGCAAACCAGGCCTTTCGTGGATGCTGTCGATCTAGAAAGGGAATCCTGCCCGGAAGGCAAGGCGTTCGCGTCCAACATCAGCTTGGTCCGGCCGGAAAGATGAGACTTTCGGGATTCTTGCAATTGGGTCACTTGCTGGGGGGGGGGGAGGAAATCTAGCATCCCGGGTTAATGACGGTGTTCTTAGCTTGGAGCCTTCCAGTTATTCTATTTCCATTTACATGCCTGAGGCTAGTACGCAAGAATCGTTTGTCTTCCGTGCCACTTGCTCGGAGCGTTCGGCTTGGTCTGGCTAGCGAGCCGAGACCCTGCAAATGCAACCATAGAGCAACGATCTGGATTTTTATCATCGAAGTGACCGGGGTCGCCGACGTCGCCGACCGTTGCCACCTGGATCTTTGTTTCGTCCCCTGCGTGCGCCGGGGACACAGGTTTCTGGAAATCGAAAAAATCGGTTGAGGCAGGCGACGTGCTTGCCTTCTGGTCGAAGTCCACGTATTCCTCTATCGCCTCGAGGGAGTCCCGAAACCTGCTGGCAAGGGCAGCAGGGATTTTAGGCTTGCACGTGTGAGCAGTGCTGTGTTGTATTGGTTTCAAAGGATGATAACTAGCACTTGCATCGGCAGAAGCACCGACAGGATCGCACGGCTAGCCAGAACGGCACCGGTCTTCCCGGCGGCATCCGTGCCGGCCTTGTTGCTGGTCTTCTCGACGGGGATGTATTGCCTGAAGAATATACTATACCCTGAAAAGGTCCTATCGTGTCCTTGGCATTCCGAAGAAGGAGCTGCAGCGGCACACACATTTTTTTCGACGGGCCAAGCTTCGATGTTCTTCGCGGCTCAGCTCGCGAGTCTCGGCCGCAGTCCTGCTCGAAAAACTTTGCACTTCGGCGCAGTTTCCTGCAACAAGACGAGATCGAACTCCGGGGATGTTTGTCAAGCATTGTACACAAAGGCGGTCAACGCCAGCTGCCCCAAGCAGCAGGTCGGTTGGGCCAGTCAGCGGCAGCGGCAGCACGCATTCTTTCTGCGGACGCTGCAAGAAGCATGAGTTCGGCCAGGCGACTGTAGGGATTTTGCGCGGATGTCGTCGGGGAAGGCC